TGGTGATGATGACGATGATGACGTTGCTGATGCTTGCTGGTGGTTGTCGTGGTGATGATGGTGACGACGTTGCTGGTGACCATGCTGGTGCTGCTGATTATGCTGATGATGACGATAGGGATGATGCTGATCAGGACGGTGGTGGTGGTGGTGGTGAAGATGCTGCTGATGATGATGATTCTGATGATATGCTGATGATGACGATGATGATGCTGATGATGACGATGATGATGCTGCTGCTGATGATGATGTTGATGATGTTGATGATGATGCTGCTGATCATGATGACAACCATAATAATGGCTATGACGAGGACGAGGACGAGGACGAGGAGGAGGACGAAGATGAGGAGGAGTAGGAGGAGGAGCAGGACGAGGTGGAGGAGGAGGAGGAGGAGGAGGAGGAGGAGGAGGAGGAGGAGGAGGAGGAGGAGGGGCAGGAGGAGGAGGAGCAGGAGGAGGAGGGAGGAGGCGGAGAAGCAGGAGCAGGAGGACGCGAAAACTGGATGCGGGAAGGACCGCGCATGCGCCCCAGCGCGGGCGGGCAGGCGGCCCTGGAGGGGTCTGCCCCGCTCGTGGAGTATTTCCTGGAGAACCTGCCCGAGGCCCCGGGGGGCGCGGGCGCCCAGTGCTCTCGGGCCGCTGCTCCGGCCTTGGCGGGGGAGCGCTTCATCGTGCAGCATCGGCCCCTGCCCCTCTCGACTGTACACACACACACACCTCCCAGAGAGGAAGGAGGGAAGGATGGGGCGGAGAGGAGAGGAGAGAGAGGGAAGGAGGGCAGGAGGGGAAGAGGGGAAGGAGGGAAGAAGGGGGGAGAGGAGAGAGGGAAGGACAGGCGCAAGTGTTTGGATGAGCCGCCGAGTGCTCCGGTGGCCTGCTGCCCGCGGGCGGAGCTCCTGCGACGAGCGGAGGGTGGGGATGATGATGGTGATGATGCTGCTGCTGCTGGTGATGATGCTGCTGATGCTGCTGCTGATGAGATGTTGATGCTGCTGCTGATGATGATGATTAGATGGTGGTGGTGGTGATGATGACGAGGAGGAAATGGAGGGAAGAGAGAAAAGGAGGAGGCGCAGGAGAAGGAGCAGGGACACACACAACGAAATAGACACAAGTCCCAGGATCCCGGATCTTTTTCCATGTGTTCTCGATGTTCGTCTGTCTTCGCCTCTACTTCCCGCGTTTTCCAGATGTTCCTGGGGATCGAAGTTTCTTTGTGTCTGTGTGTTCCTTTTCCTTCTGAGATCGGGGCTGCTGATCTATTTCACAATCTCTTTTTTTGGCCTGGCTCGTGATGCGACCGACGCGCGCGCGCGCGCGCTAGGAAACCAGGTTGCCTCTCCAGAGGTGCACCGGCGAAATCGTTGCGAGACAGCAGAAAGTGTGCAGTTCAGCATGTGCGTTTCCTGTACGCAGCGAAGATCAAACAAAGGCATAACCATCAATCCCTGGCGGTCCGCGCGGATTTCTTGGATCCGCGCTGGGGCCCACTTGGCGCCGCCCCCGGCGCCGCCCCTGGCGCGCTCCGCCCGTCAGGGAGGGGGGGGTCCAGCGCCGATTCAGGAAGTCCACCGTGGCGGGGTGGCCCAAGAGGGCCCCGGTGGGCGACTGGGGAGCGTCTGGTCGTAACGCGCCAGCAACGGCACCCCCCCGTGGCGCCAAGCCGGCCCCAAGAGGTCCACATGGCTCCCCAGAGTCGCCCACGAGCTTCCCCCAGAGTCTTCCCAAAATGCTCCCAAGAGCGCCCCACGGAGGCCAGAGCCCTGCCCCACCCGAGCAGACCTCCAGAAAGCTTCGTTTTTGCATTCGAGAATCGCCCCTGCATTCCTCAGTGGCACATTGGCGATTTGCGGTGCGCGTTCCTCGGGCGCGGCTAGAACCTAAGCGCGTGCGAAGCGTGCGCGCGTGGTGCTAGCCCGCGGCCGGGTCCCTGGGCCAGGGGGCGGCCCACTTCTCCCCCTCCCAGCGTCAAAAGTTTAGTCCCGGGAGCTGGCGGCCCTTTTTGAGTGGTCCAGGGGTTTCTCTGGAACTCGAAAGCCTTCCTCGGCAACCCCACAGGACGCTCAGAGGCCGCAAAGACGGTTCCAAGACTGTCCAAAATGATAGTAAAAGGGCCCCGAGGGCCGAAGACCGCCCGAAGAGAGCTCCAAGAGGCCTAAACTGTTGAAGAACGATAGGTTTTCGTGGACTTTTAACATTCTTGCCCAGTTGCTCTTAACAGCGTCAAAGACTGCTAACGTGGCTCCCAATGTTGCTTTTTAGGCGGCCCAGGAAGCCCCCGAGAGGGCCCCAAGACGGCGAGCCCAAGAAGGACAGCCCGAAGACGCCCCCAGAAAGACCCCAGATTGCCCACGGAGGCATCCAAAACGGCATCCGAAGACGTTTGACGGGCTACGAACGCTCTAAGACCGCCAAGGAGGTCCCCAGGAGACCTCGAGAGGCCCCAAAAGCGCCCGAAGGGGCCACCAATAGACACCAAATAGGCTTTCAAGATGTCCCGAAGGCTCCCCCAGAGGATCCAGAGATGCCCCACAGGAGCCCCACGAAGACGACCCACCATGCTCTTGAGGAAGTCCCCCGAGCTACCCAGTGGCTCAGAAGAGACTTTATGACGGCCCAGGGGAGTCCCAACACGGCCCAAGAACTAGCTTGGGTAGCTCAAGAGGCTTTCGCGGCGTCCGCGAAAGGTGCCCCCACTGGGCACCCATTTTTGCATAATTCCGTTTTTCAGTTGTCGAGTGTAAATGCGTCGTCGATTCGTCTCTATTGGATCCGCGGCCTTGCATTTTCTTGGGTTAATGTTCAAGGCAACTGTGGTGAGTGCAGCTGTGAGTTGGCCACGGGCTGGGCCGTGCTAGAACCTAAGCGCGCGCGAAACGTGCGCTACGAGCATTGGAGCGACACGAAACGAGAAACTAACGAACTTATGCGCGCTGTTCAATGCGTTCCTCCTGCAACCCCGCACCAATCGCAGTCCAGTGCGTAGAGGAGGAAGAGGAGTGAGAAGGGGACAATGCAAACATTTAAAATCTGGTGAAGCCTCCAAGTACTGTCAATGTTGATGCCGTCGACAGCGGCGACGACGACGACTACGGCTACGGCGACGGGTGCGACAGCAGCCATTGCAGTGACAACGAGGGCGGCGAGATCGCATTAAACGGCTCGCACTTTGTAGGAGACAGCACTACAGTCGTGAACTTGTCAAGGCGTTGCGAACAGCTGTGAACAACATGCGTACATGCACGCAGCAGTGAACATTCCAAGGGTCGATGCTTACTAGAACCGTAGCGCGCGAAGCGCGCGCGTGGTTCTAGTATATGCATATCTATAGATCATTACCTGTATATTTCAAAATCTTCCTGTGTGTACCTGTATATGAGAAGACGTACATGTCTATAGCCATCTTTACGTTTATACCCGCATCGGTCGCATGTGTGTATATGTGTATATAGATACATGTGTGTGTGTGTGTGTGTTCGGTATCTCTCGTTTCGCACCTACGTTTCATTGGTGCTTCCCTTTGTCTTTGTATCTAACTAAACGAAGGTACATGCATCCGTATAAGCATATGTATATAGACAAGTGCTCATGTACCTCTACTAATACTTCATGCAACGTTCTCTGCGTACATTCGGTTTTACGACTGAGCGCGAATGCAAACATAATGAGCTTAGCCTTACACGGTACACCTATACGTCTACATGTGTAGCCCCGAAAATATCACTACCTCATGTTTTCTCTCTGTACCTCCCCCTTTCTACAACGACATACATGTATACACACATATTTATATATATATATATATATATATTATATGTATATGTGTGTATATGTATGTATGTGTATAAATACATAGATTCACATTAAACACATGTACATACATGCGGACATACATATACATTAAGTGCATACATGTACACCCACGTATATACACGGTTTACGTATTGATGCCTGTATGTACATATTCCGGTATCACTTTCTCTCTCTCTCTCGCTCTCTCTCCCTCTCTCTCTGTCAACCTTTGTATTTTGTTCCCTACCTAGGCTCTGCCTAGAAGGGTTCTTAATGTCTTGGCTTAAAGGGGCCGGGCAGTGTAAACCGCCCCGGGCGGTTCCCCCGGTCCCCTGGGAGCCAAGCAAAAGCAACAGCAAAGGTAAAAGCAAACGCGCGGTTCCCCCAGTTGCGCTCCCTGGGTGCCAAGCAACAGCAAAAGCAAAGGCAAAAGTGAAGGCAAAAGCGAAGGCAAAGCAAAAGCATAGCATAGCATAGCCTAGCCTAGCCTAGCCTAGCCTAGCCTAGCATAGCATAGCATAGCATACCATAGCGCAGCATAGCATAGCACAGCATAGCATAGCATAGCCTAGCCCAGCATAGCATTGCGCAGCATAGCATAGCATAGCATAGCATAGCATAGCATAGCATAGCGCAGCACAGCATCCACTATTGCTGCCACTACGACGATGAGGAGAAGGAGGAGGACGGCGTTGACCGCTTCTACTAATGTTGCTTTCCTAGAGGCTCCAACTCCTAGGTAGGGTCGCACTGGGATAATGTTTAATCTCTCCCTGTATCTGTGTATATGCATTCTATCAATATGTATGTTTCAATATTTCGCTCTCTCTCTCTCTCCTTCTTGGTACAGGTATTTACAAATACTTATACATGTACACATTCATACATGTACACACTCATTTCTATATACCTATACATGTATATATCTATATGTATGTATGTATGTGTATGTATGTATGTATATATATGTATACATATACAAAAATATCAATCGCCTTCGTTCTCCCTCACCCCAGGTTCCCCAATTCCTGAACACATGTCCCAAGTCCTGCGTTCCAACCTCCTGGTTCTCGGTCCCCAGTTTCCAGATCCCGGTTCCTGGTTCCCAGTTCTGGCTCCCGGTTCCCCGTTCCCGGTTCCCAGTTCACGGTTACGGGTTCCTGGTTCACTGGTTCCCGGTTCTTGGGTTCCCGGTTCCCGGTTCCCTGTTCCAGGTTCTCTGTTCCCGGTTTACCAGTTCACGGGTTCTCGGTTGCCGGTTTCCATTCCCGCCGATTCCCGGTTCATCTTGCTCTCGGCTTCTGGTTTCCGGCTCCCAGTTCCTGGCTCCCAGTTCCCGGTTCGCGGTTCCGAGTTCTTTGTTCTGGGTTCCCGGTTACGGGTTCCCGGTTCGCGGTTCCTGGTTTTTGGTTCCTGGTTCCCGGTTCTTTGTTCTGGGGTTCCCCGCTCTCGGTTCCCCGCTCTCGGTTCCCCGCTCTCGGTTCCGCGCCTTTCTTTCTTTCTTTCTCTCTCTCTCTCTCTCTTCTCTCTGCTTCTCTCTTTCCTTTCCCTCCCTCTCTCAATCATTTTTGCTTGGCTGGTGTTCCTTACTTGTTCCTCTCTCTGTCTCTCTTTCCATTCTTTCCATACATATACATGTATCCATTTACACGTGAATGAAATATACCTCTGTGTATGTATGGGCCGCACCCCCTCTCTTACACTGACTCTCTTTCTCTCTCTCTCTCTATCACTCTCTCCCCTCTCTCTCGGGGCTCTATCCCTATGTATAGATACATGTTTACATGTAGTTATGCATAAATGTATATCCAAAAGTTCTTCCTGTGTGTACCTTTCTGTTGTGCTGTGTGTACATATTTGCATCGGCTGGACGTGAATTCTAATATATATATATATATATATATATCTGTATATATATATATATTCATAGTTATTCATGTGTATCGGTCTCTTTCGTTTCTGTGTTTGCACGCTCATATATTTACTCATTGTATATGTAAGCACTTACGTTTGATGGGTGCCTCCGTATCTCTCTCTCTCTGTGTCTAGTTCACGATGTCCTACGTATCCGTACAAGTAGATTCTATATTTACAGAAGTAGTATAAATCTATAAACGTTCTCTGCGAACATCTATGGATCTATGACTGAGCGTGAATACATATATCGAGCTGAGCGTGACACGGTACACATATAAACATACATGCGTGAGCCTGTAATTATCTCTACCTGTTCTTCCCTCTCTCTGTACCTCCCTCCCTCCCTACAGCGAGTTGGATGCACATATGTATGCATACCCACGTACATCATATATTCAAACATCCATACATACATGCATGCATACATACGTACATACCCATACATACGTAGTATGAGCATGAGCGTGCACCTATGTATCGTCAGTGTGCACGCATTGCTACCTGCGAGTACATATTCAGATCTCTCTCTCTCTCTCTCCCTCTCTTTCTCTCTTTCTTCATTCTCTGTGCCAATCTCTGTGTTCAGTTTAATTACCTCTACCTCTTTCTCACTCTCTCAGTATCTCTATATCAATATAGGTATGTATATCCATGTGTAGTTCTCATTATAAATACACATATACATCTGCGCAGACATCTAAGTGTATGTATGCATATACATATATTATATTATATTATAGTATATTATATTATAATATAGTATATTATGTTATATTATATTATATTATATTATATATATTATATTATATTATATTTTATTTTATTTTATTTTATTTATTTATTATATTATTATATTATATTATTATATTATATTATATATATATTATATTATATTATATATATATATATCATAGTAATATTATATTATATTATATTTATATATATTATGTATTATATTACATTATATTATATTATATTATGTTATGTTATATTATATTGTATTATATCGCTTTATACTACATTGTATTATATTATATTATATCATTCTATATTATATTATACTATGTTATATTATATTGTATTATATTATATTATATTGCATTTTATCATATTATATTATATCATATTATATTATATTATATTATATTGTATTGTATTATATTATATTATATTATATTATATTATATTATATTATATTATATTATATTATATTATATGAAATCATATTACATTATAGTGTATGATCTTCTATTATATTATACTATATTATACATTTATGTGTATGTATGTATATATTCATATAGCGCTATGCCCCCGATAGTCACAAGGTGGGGATACTACAAATCGGGGTTCTGGCGGGAAAATGAACTTTCTCCAGGAGGAGGGGGAGGTGGAGCGAAAGGAATCGTGTGCGTCTGGCCTGAGACATCTTCACCTCGCGAACTCGGCGAACGTTGATGATAATGATAACCATGATGATGATGATGATGATGATGATGATGATGATGATGATGATGATGATGATGCTGATGATGACGATGATGTCGATGATGATGATGTTGATGATGATGACGATGATGATGATGATGATGATGGTAATTGTTAACCGCGATCAGAAGATTCGAACTACGATGCATACTTACGCAGGACGAGAGATTTCCTTCTTGAGGTGCAAAGGGCGATGATGACTTGGAAGTTTGTGACCGAACCCCCCGCCCCCGTATAATCTTAACACGGGCGGGATCTGGGGTCCGCGGATCCGATTTCTTCCGGGTCCCCGTTTTCATATAATCATATTATTTAGGACAAGGTAGACATCGGATCCGCCGTTAGAAAATAAAACCGAGCACAGATCCAGCAAATCCGAAATCGGATCCGCGCGGACGGAAATCGGATCCACCGAAGCAAACGCCAAAGCCACGATTGGATCCGCGCGAACTTCACGGGATCCGATGGCGGATATTCCATACGCGTTTGCTCAAGGCCTGAAGCAGTCGTTCCGGGCCCAAGAGAAAGCACTTTCGCCCTGGGGATTTATTTCCTTCGGCGATTGTGAAGTTCGGCCCCGCCGCTCCCTCCGCTGACCAAAACTGTCTTGGTCGGGGATAATCTTGTGAGGATCGTGGGAAGGGGGGGTATGCTTAATCATCCAGGGCTTGCGGTGTTATATATATATATATATATATATACATATATATATATATAGACATGCGCCTCTCTTTCGTTTCCCTCTTTCCCGGTTCCCCGCTTCCTGAACACATGTCCCGAAACTTGTGTTCCCAGTTCCCAGATCCCCGTTCCCGGTTCCTGGCTCCCGATTCCTGGTTCCTGGCTCCTGTTTCCCTTTTTCCGGCCCGGCTCCCGGTTCCCGGTTCCCGATCCCAGTTCCCGGTTCTTGGTTCCCGGTTTTTGATTCCCTTTTCCCGGCCTGGCTCTAAGCTCCCGGTTCCCAGCTCCCAGTCCCAGTTCCCAGTTCCGGGATCCCGGTTCTTGGTTCCCGGTTCCCGGTTCCCGGTTCCCAGTTCCCGGTTGTTGGTTCCCGGTTCCCGCTTCCTGTTTCCAGGTTCTTTTCATTAGTTCATGCTACATAGTGGGAATCCCGTCCGCGAGGGCGTGGATGTGGATGGCGCCCCTCCTCCTCCTCCACCTCCTCCTCTTATTCCTCCTCCTCCTCCACCTCCTCCTCCTGTTTTTCCTCCTCGTCCTCCTGCCTCCGACGTCTTCGGCGGCTCGGACGCGGTGTTCGGCAGGCCAGGCGCGGCCCGGCTGCCGCCCCGCCGTGGGTTGTAGATGTAGAGACTGGGATTCTTCCTGCGCTGGGTTCCCACTTCTCCGCCTCCATTCCTTTTCCTTATAAGCAAATTTTCCTTGTCGCACCCCGAGGCCAGTTTTTAGGGCGGTCCGGGCGTTTCGCCTGAGACTGCCTAACCGTTTATGACCCTGGAGCTTAAAAGTTGACAACAGTTCACCGATGGAGGGCGCCGTTTTCAACATGTGTCTCTGGACTTAGCGCCGCGCGCAGTCCTTTAAACAAATTGCAAGAGTTTCATGGAGTGAAGGCGGGTGCTTTTCAAAATGTGGGTCGTTTTCAAAACGTCATTCTCGCCTCAACGCCGCGCACGTTCGTTTTAAGTATTTGCAAGAGCTTCACGGATTGAGGGCGGGTCGTTTTCAAAACGTGGCTCTTGCTTCAGCGCCGCCCACATTCGTTCATAAGATTTGCAAGGGTTTCACGGATTACCACGATCACGTACCAGAAATTATGTTTAGGAAGGATTCAGTATTATGGGGGCGCAACAGTTACGTTGATTCGCGGTGTTGAAGTCCCAGGAATGGTGTTTTGGCACGATTCAGGATCGTCAATACGCAACAGTCAGGTTGATCCGTGGCGTTGGGATCCCGAGAGCGATGTTTTGGCATGCGTCAGGGTCTTCAATCGGCTGTCTTCCAACGGGGCAGTTCCCTCAGTGGAAATGAACCGGTGCAGGGTCCCATGAAGAGGGAGCTTGGAATGAGGGTTTATTCCAACATCGTTGATGACTCTTGGGTTTACACTGGTCCTCCTCCTCCTCCTCCTCCTCCTCCTCCTCCTCCTCCTCCTCCTCCTCTCCCTCCTCCTCCTCCTCCTTCTCCTCCTCCTCCTCCTCCACCTCCTCCCCTCCTCTTCTTCCTCCTCCTCCTGTTCTCCTCCTCCTCTTCCTCCTCCTCCTCCTCCTCCTTTTCCTCCTCCTCCTTCACCTCCTCCTTTTCCTCCTTCTCCTCCTCCTCCTCCTCCTCCTCCTCCTCCTCCTCCTCATCTCCTCTTCTCCCCGCCCACGGCGGCCTGCCCCCCTGCAGGGCTCCTTTCGACTCCTCCGATTCGGTCCGATTCGATTTCGATTCGACCTGGGATGCCGCCCCGAGGGCTACGGGGCGCAGTGCGCCAACGCACCAGACCACGGCGGCGACTGCCCGCTGCACCTGGCCGCCTACGGCGGCCACCTGCCCGTGGTGCGCCCGAGCGCCGGGATCCTGGGGAGGAGGGGCGAGGCCCAGAGCTCCGAGCATCGGAAGTTTCAGGGGCAACGTCAGGGGGCGAACGAGTTGCAGGAGGAGGAGGAGGAGGAAGATGAGGAGGAGGAGGAGGAGGAGGAGGAGGAGGAGGACGTTGTCTGTAGTTGTCGCAGGTTTCCAGAGGCTTTCCTGCCTCGGGGTGCTTGCCAACAGGGGGGGCAGCCAGGTTCAGGGGGGAACGCATCGGACCCCATGGCTCAAGCTTTGAGGTTCAAGGCTTTCGGATGTTTTCGGCCGTTCTCGGCAGCTTTCCACCCGTGGGGTTGCCTTCCAGCGGCTGCGCCTCGCCGAGGGCGTTCTGGGGGTGCCCAGATCGTCCCGCCCCAACGGCCGCCAGAGACCCGCGTTGTGACCCGAAAACCAAACTCGGCGGCGCTCCGACGCAGTGGCCAGGGATCGATAAATTTCTGGCTACGCCGACGAGGAGGGGACGAGGGAGTGTGGGTCTCAAAACGGTGCGGTGACAGACCGTGCGGTGACTTCGACATCCCGCCTGACCTCACCGCACTGTCTGTCACCGCGTGGTTTTGGGACCTTGCGTAGACCCCAGTCGCCCGAGACATCCTCGGAGAACGGCCCAAGTCCCACAACCGTGCGGTCACCTTGAATCTTCTCCCCTGACGCCCGATATCTGTTTTTTTCAGAGCGCGGTCCCCAGACCCCCTCGCGTTGTGAAAAAATCACGACGGAAGGTATTTCGCTATTTTCGGCCTCTGGGGGCCCTCGGGACCGTCCAACATCGACGCGAGATGAAAAACTGGTCCCGGGGGAGGGGTTCGGACCTCTGGGGGTCGCGTTATGAGAAAATCATGACGTCGGGGGTCCGGGTCCCGTGAAGTCCCGATTCTTTCCCCTGGGTACGCTTTTCATACCTCGTCGGTTTTTTCGGTCCCGGGGCCTGGCGAGGGCACCCGGAACAAGAACAGAAACAAAAGACCTTCCGCCGTGATTGCTCGGTGACCCGAAGGGGCCTGGGACCCCCCGCTGACTCACCACACGGTGCGGTCACCGCACCGTTTGGGGGCCTCCCAAAAATGGCTGAGCTCTGGGCCTCCTAGAGGGGGTCGGAGTAGATGGGGTCGGAGGATCGCGCCGCATCGCCGATGTATCGGCGATGCGGCTCGATGAGGGGTCCGATTTCCTCCACGCCGACGTCGCCGATGCATCGCCGACGTCGCCGATGCATCGCTGATGCAACGCCGATACAGCGGCGATGTGTTGGCCATGCGGCGCGATCCCTCGACCCCGTCTGCTCGGACCCCCTCCAGGAGGCCTCCATGAGCTGGACAGCCCCGGCACGCCCACGAAGACTGCCGTGGCCAGAGCGTGTGGCCCCCCCTCGGCCCCCCCGGGCTCCTCCGGCCGCCTCGCGCCCTTTGCGTGCCTCGCCCTCTCCTCCTCGCGCCTCGCCCTGCCTCGGCGCGCGCCCCGCCGCGGCTCGACCGCCGTTTCTGGCCCTCTCTTGCGGCCGCGGGCTGGCACGACGTTCCGCCATCCCTCCGCGGGCGGAGCTCCCGAGGCCGCTGCCGCCGCCAGGGGGGGGAGGGGAGGAGCGTTCTGACTCTCACGTTGAGTCGGGCCTGTCCCTCGACAGGAGGAATAGTCAAACATAGCCAAAAAATAGTCGGGGGACGTTGATTTATTTTTGATCATGTTTTGGGTATCTGTTATTTTTCGTCCAATCCCCTGGGCTTCAATCCCCACGGGGCATGCTTCAATCCCCTCGGGGCATGCTTGCGGCGCCTTCTATACCCGCCCGACCTGGGTGGGGGGTGTCAGGAAACGGGGGGCGAATACAGCCAAGACGCTGAAATCAGAAACAGGTTGGGTTCGGAGGGGGCTCGATGTGCCTCAGGTCCTTCCATGGCTGTTCCTCGGGCGCTCCCCGTCCACGCAGGCGCTGTTGGGGCAAAACGGAGGCTTCGTTCCTTATTTAGCGTTCCTCATTTCAACAGCCCGACTGTAAGGGGGTCAAGGGGGGGGAGGAGGGGGGGACGGGCCAGGTGGGGATTGGGGGTGGTCTTGAAATCTAGGTGCTGCCGTTTTTGAAAACCAGCGTTTTCGCCCAGTTTAGGGCCGGGGACCATCACATATCTGTCCGGCTTGAGCAATCATGCCAAAAGATTTATTTTAGGGTTCCGATCCTGATTTCTGATGATGTTGCAGCTTTTTCGCCGAGCCGGATCTCAAGGGGAGTATGGGAGTGAGGAAAGGGGGGAGGAGAAGGGGGTTGGGCGCTGGGGTTGCAGATTCGGGCCAAGTGGGCTACGCCCACTTGGCGTAGCTATTTGGGCCCCCTGAGCCACTCCTGGCACTTGGGACCCGATCGTAGGACAGGGTGGGCCAGATGTAGCCCACCACAGCATCCGCGTTTGAAACGCCTTCCCCCTCTGCAGACCCCGCGGGCCATCTTGAGGCCCTCTTGGACAGTCTGGGGGGGCCCTCTTGGCGGCATGCTGCGGGGCGCTCCGGGGGCCTGTCGGGCCACTCCCGGGGCTCTCTAGCGGGACAGACCGTCGGCGCGCCACGAGCACAGCCTCGGAGGCGCCGCGGAGGCACGTGCACACACAGCCTCTTGGCGCCGCCAGGGGCTGCGCGGTGTCCCGCCGCGCGCCCGCGCGCGGGCTCGCCCGCCGCCGCCCCCGCCGCCCCGCCGAGGTGCTCTTGCTGGCCCGCGCTGGCGCGGACCAGACGCTGGTCAATGCTGGCGGGCACACGCCCGTGGACCTGGCACAGGAGGGGCCGCGCCGCCGCCGGCGGGGCCGACCCCGCCGGCGCCGACGCGGACGGCGCCGACGCTGAGGGGGGGAGGTGTAAGGAGGAGGAGCAGGAGGAGGAGGAGGAGGAGGAGGAGGAGGAGGAGGAGGAGGAGGAGGAAGAGGAGGAGGAGAAGGAGGAGGACAGTTTTTTCCTACAAAGGCATTGCTCCAGTGCGCTCAGACACCACCTTCTCTTGCATACATCACTGGTGAGCGTTGCACCCTCCCCCTTCCTCGCGGCCCTGACACGCTGGTGGCACTTCTCTCTCTCTCTCTCTCTTTTTTTTTTTTTTTTGTTTTCTCTCTCTCTCTCTCTCTACGCAGGTTCGGGGTTAATCCTACAGAACCTTGTGTCGCAGCCCGAGGATTGTGTGAATTCTCTTCTGCGGGTTAAGGGTCAACCTTACAAACCCGACCGCAGCACACACCGTGCACATTTGGGTCCCCTCAGGGTCTGGCCCCGAAGTGCAGTTTTCACCCTCACCCCTCACCTCCATTGCGTGTACCACGAGCAGCCCTCGTACTAGCTAGGCGTTCTGGGGGAGGCGGGTGTCATCATCGGAGGGTGGCGGTGGAGTACACAAGCCTGTATCTATTCAGGCGACGACTCTGTGAAGGCAGAGCTACTCTGTGCGCAGGTTTATTCTACAAAGGCATCGACACCCTGTGCACTCATACCACGTTTACTTGCTAAGGTCCGCGCAGTCCTACTGTATTTGGCCTGCCGCGACGACACTCACCATCGATCTTAAGCTTGTTATCTCTATTGTTTATTATTCTGACTGCTGTTGCTTTCCAACTAAGGTGAGTGTCGTCCCACCAGGCGGGCGCCTACTCTTACCAATATTCTCGTCCTACGCTCGCCCATTTTCATTCTCCACGGCGCCGGCCAGTTTTTTGTGTGTTATCCGCGTCGTTTATTTCTTCCATTGCTAGAACGCCACATGTGCACACATAATGTCAGGCCAACGCAAAAGGAGGAGGAGAAGGAGGAGGAGGAACAGGAGGAGAAGGAGGAGGCGAAGGAGGAGGAGGACGAAGAAGGAGGAGGAACAGCACCCGCATAATCCTGAATCCTTCCAAAACATCATTTTTGGTACGTTGATCATGGGAATCCGCGAAGCTCTTACAAATTTTGAAGACGAATGTGCGCGGCGCTAGAGCGAGAGCCGCATTTTGTAAACGATCCGCCCTCAATCCGTGAATCTCTTGCAAATGTTAAAACGAGTGTGCGCGGCGCGAAGGCGAGAGCCACATTTTGAATACGACCCGCCCTCAATCCGTGAAGTTCTTGCAAATGTTTAAAACGAGTGTGCGCGGCGCCAAGGCGAGCCACATTTTGAAAACGACCCACCCTCAATCCGTGAATATCGCAACTTTTGAAAACGAATGTGCGCGGCGCTAAGACGAGAGCCACATTTTGAAAACGACCCGCCCTCCATCTGTGAAACTGTTGTCACTTTTTATGCTTCAGAACCTAAACGGCGAGGAAGTCCCAGGTGAAACGCCCGGTCCGCTCTAAAACCTGGCCTCGGGGTGCGACAGCGAGGAGTTATCTAGAAGGAGAAGGAATGGAGGAGGCGGAGGCGGAGGCGGAGGCGGAGGACGAGGAGGAGGAGGAGGCGGAGGCGTAGGCGGAGGAGGAGGAGGATGAGGATGAGGAGAAGGAGGAGAAGGAGAAGGAGGAGGAGGAGTGCGGCTGCGTCTGCGGCTGCGGCTGCGAGCAGCAGGGCTCGGCGTCGGTGTCGGCATCGTCTTCCTCTTCCTTCTCCGTGTCCGCAGATTTCCCGCCTCGTCCTCGTTCTTCTCCTGTTCCTGCCCGTCCTCCTCCTTCTCCACTTCCTCCTCTTCCTCCTCTTCCTCCTCTTCCTCCTCCTCGACCAGCTGGCTCCACCCACGACGGCCTCCATCTGTTCAACAATCGCGGAAATCAGGAACGGGATTGTGTCTTGGCCCCGAAGTATTTGGTGCCGTTTGCCGAACGAGTGGCTGACCACAGTGGCTTCCCCAACCGCGGCGGCAGCCACAATTTTCCACAAACTAGATTACTTGGCTGCGAGCTAAACCCAGAATCCTATATTGCACGATCGCTACCACAAGTGGGTGAGCAGGATGGCGGGGACATGGACGAGTATCACTGGCGAGTGCAGCAGAGCTCGATACATCGGCGGCTGGCCCGGCTCGCTCGAAACAAAAACAAACATGGCCATTCACTTCTTGGACTTCTTCGAGGACGCCAGCCGCGACGTTCAGACGGACGAGAACGTGATTGCTCAGCAGCTGGCTGCCCACTGGCGGCGAGCCTTCGGCCACAAGCTGATCGACGAGACGAAGCTGACCACATGGTCGGCGCTTGCCGCGCACGCGGGGTCTCAGCGGCTAACGGTCCCTGCTGGCCACTGGTGCCTGAGCACCAAATACGTCCAGAATATTTTTTTTGCTTCGCGTATCCACACCAGCGTGGCCATCCCATCTTCACCTTGCACAGTGACTTGCCCACTGAGGTCCGCGGGTCCTGCGCGTGTCTTGCGTTGGCCACTTGAACTCTGGTCAGTTTGTCCAGTGCACGTGCCCGAGCTTGCAGTGCGCCAGCCAGTCAGCGTCACCCAGCCTGCAGGTGCCGTCTGAGGGGGCCGGCCGGCGCGCCTGTCCTAGCCAATTAGCCTCGCCAGTGGCCCGGACGTTGCCTTCGCCGCCTGACCCTTGTCTCGCGGCCGCGACCAAAAAAAAACGTATCCCCACCAGCCCTGCCCCTAAGCAGCCGTTAGCTGCAACCCTGGAAGATGGGCAAGAGTCAGTCTAACCAAGGACCACAGGCCCGTTGGCCAGCCTGCGAGGCATGCCGCCCGGACGGCCCCTCGGCGATCGATGGCCTTCGTCCCTTCCGTGCGCGAGAGTGCCCCTGGATGCGGTGGGCGCGCTTCAACGGGGAATGGTGCTGGTGGTGCGAACTGCGCCAGAAGCACTGCAATGGGAAAGGAGACTTACTGCAGTGGGATCACTTCTGGGAGGGCGACAGGCAGTGGGGATGCGGATGGCCCGGCCCCAGGGACTTCACCTCAGCCGGCAATCTTTGGACCATGACCCGCGGGGGGGAGCACGACAACACCCGCGGTTGCGATATCAAGAGGCACCCATGGCCCGGGTGGAAGCTGCCAGAACCTGTAAAAGAGCGCGGACAGGCCTTCATCCCCGGCTGGTTCTTCCCAGATGACTGGGACCACGCACCCGTGAACTTCCCATGCAGGGGCGATCTGTTCAGCTACGTCACCCCCCCAGGCACCATCCGATCCCTGGAGTCACGCCCATCCCAGCAGATGAGACGAAGCACCTGGGCCTGGGGCAGCGCCAGCAGCGCGGGTGCCGCTGGAGGGCTACCGAGAGTCGAGACGCCACCGGCCGCGCCACCGCCACCCCCCCCCCGCCCTGGAGCATCCACTTCGCAGGAGACGACGAGCCACACGCTGCGAGCTGAGCGTCGTCGCGGGAGTCAGCAGGGAGGCGGCAGACAGACGCGCCAGACGGATGGCCAGGCCCAGGCAGAGCGGCGGCGTCCTCCTCAGGCGCACGAAGGATCTTCCTGGAATCATCGGCGATGGCGGCGGCGGAAGCAGTCAGGCAGTTGTACTCCATCCCCGCCAGTTGCGGCGGTGCCCAGATCCATCTGAACGTGCCCCTGGGGAACATCCCGCGCGCCGTGCCACTCCCACCCCAGTGGCCGCAGGAGCTACGGCAGCGCGGGCGTGCGCTCGAAAGGCTCGCCTGGATCGAACGCATGGCCGCGACCGAGACAGTCTGGGGCGGCCCCCCCAAGGCGAGGACAGACCTGCTCAGGAGACACAGTTGCGCCCTGGGAGTATCCGTCACCCACGTGGGCCAGGACTCGGACTGCGCCACGCTGGACCGCTTCTAGGTGAGGAACTCTCTCTCCCCAGGACTGGGGAAGGAGCTACTGCTCCTACAATGGAGCTCAGTCTTTAAGATTCTTCTCAAGGGGCAAGACGCAGGACAGGACGCACAGGTCCTCCTCCTCAGCATCACCAGCCCCGCAGTGGACCAAGTCGCCTCCGTCAAGCTATGGTGGCCACCCGACCTCGGCGCCGCAATCCCCCCAGCGACTGCGAAGCGCTGGGTCTCCCGCCCGGTTCCAAGTACCAAGGCAATGAGTGTGTCGTCGTGTGCCGCGCCGCCAAGCGCGGGCCCTTCCGCGAGGGCAGCAGCGCCGCCCAACCAACCTACGATGGCGAACCGTGGTATAGGCTGGACAGGGCGCCCTCCGAAATCCAGTTCTGGAGGATCTCGGCAGCGGTGGCCGAGATCGAAAAATTGCAGCAGGTTCCTGGAGATCTGTTCGGCCCCCCCCTGGACATCATCACCTACCTATTCACATTTCGGACAGCCGACAGGAAGGACAAGTCCATCGCGAACGGCGCCGTGCACGCCGCTCGGTGCGGCCAGGTCCTCCGGGCGCGCGCCATCGCCACCCTGGGGACTCACCTGCCGTGCGCCGACCTACCAGCGCCTGGAACCGTCTCAGCTGTGCTCGCACAACCTACCGAATCCCAGGCCGCGCCCCCCTTCACCGACTCCGAGGGGGACGGCGCCCCTGGACAGGTTTCCAGCGTGCTCGCGACCTCCCGCCCCGGGAATCCCTGGAAGAGGGCGCAGCGCGTCGCGGCCTCAACCGTGGTGCCACAAGGGCCCTCCTGGCCTCCACCAGGCACCGCGTCGCGACCGTGTGCGGCCCCCCAGGGGCGGGCAAGACGATCTATTCAGTCGCAACCACGGGCACCTGGGCCGGCGCGCTCAACCGCGGATTGGCGGCGGCCCTCGCCGCGGGGTCCACCGCAGCCGCGGATCAGCCTGCACTGGCGCTCCTCGCCGCCCACAGGACTAATAAGCTGGCTCCCAACGCCGGGTTCCCCGCCCTGCGCGTGCGCCTAGCCAAAGATCACAAGACGGCGAGGGAACTGGCAG